CAAGAATGCATTTTCTTGCATAATTTCCAGTAGAGGATACTAAAGAGACATAAAAATATCTACAGTAATAATGTATAAATCATATCTTGAAATGCATACAATATAGTGTTATATTACTGCATGGAAAAATAAGTTCATCCGTGTGTAAAGGAATATCTCGAATATCATCAAATGCCAAATGGTATCACCTTTGTATATATGTCAACCATATTACATGATTTAACAAGAAAATCGTGATTGAATATAATTAATACGCGATCACGGTACAGCCGTCCGCAGATTCCCGCACCGCACAACGTATAATATAATCGCCGTGAATGAATTTCACAGATAATCCCGGCGAATAAACTTCCCCGCGGCAGTGGTTTAACACGAACACGCAAGCACAGTGTGTACGTTTACGCCACCCGACTGCAGTGTTATGGTACAACGCCGATTACAGTGATAATATTTAGCTTTACTTCTAAGCTGCTTGATACAGTATATTTAAACGATCATTAAACGTACGCCTATGCCATTTAGTACCGTTTGCCGCAGCCCGTAATATACGTTCATCATAATGAATCATTCGGTGTCACTGCCGCTACCGGAAAGGACATATTTATTTCTTACCTAACCTCTATGCTCATCGAAGTGTACGTGTGTGATATAAAAACAGCGTCATATAAAATAATTCTTGTAAGACACCTTCAATTTAAATTTGGTTCAAAATTGATCGTAAAAATTATTTTTCAAATCTGATGGTTAAGTTAGAAAATCTAATTTAAATTCAATATCTTTTATCAAAAATAGTCTATGTCACTTTTAAATATGACCCACTGAATATGAATATAGTTTTATGGTATGATATTATATGTTATATTTAATATCTGACCTTTAACTATTTTTAAGATTAATCATGAACTTAAGCAAACAATACTTAAAATTATCCAAATACATATGATTTATGACATAATTCAGATATATACAATAAAATAATTTAAATAATAAAAATATGTTTATTATTAGTAATTGACATAAAAATATAAAAAGATAATACAAAATAAATACGTATATTTTTATTACAAAATATTAAATGTAAGACTATTGTGGCACCTTGAATTGAACAATATCTACACGTATTTCAAAAATGTGTCTAATTTTTTTTAAATTGAATATTTTAAAATGATTATGAAATATAATTATGACTTTTTTTTCAATTAATGAAAAATAGAAATAGCCAATTGGTAATGACCTAGAGTTACGAAAAATATCATAGGTATTACCATAATAATTTATTGTTGGTATACTTATATAAATTATAATAATTATTGTAGAGCTTATAATAAAACTAATAAAACAATTAAAAAAATGTTAAGTACATAAAATTATTAATAAATAAAAAAACATTATTTTTAAAATTTATATATAATTGAAATTCATCTTTAACTAAAAAAATAGTATCTAAGAGTGTAAAAAAAATAATTCATCTACTTCTGAATCTAATTATAATGCATTTTAAATATTTTAAATGTCATTCATTGCTAATCGTCCATAAAAGTTATTTTAAATTTATTGATATATTGTATTGTTATTTGAACTTAAGTCTATAAGGGAGCCAGGAGGGTTATATAAATATTATCGAATTAAGTATAAATCTTGTACACTTGTATTGGTATCTGAATTCTTAAAAAGTTACCATTAGTCTAAAATCGCGATTAAACTTAAAATTAGCCAAGTGTTGGACTTAACCCATAACGTTAACTCGTTGTAACATCTGTAATACACTCACGGACCAAATGTAAAAAACCAAATGCGATTTAGGTACTAGACAAGGGTAAACACTTTTCTAACTCATAAGGTCTAAAATCGATAGAATTACTACAGACGTTTTCAGTAAATCTCTATTAACTCGATAAAAAAAAAAAAAACAAAAAAAAAACAAATAGTGCATTAAAATTGTCCACTAGAAAGTAATCGCAGATTCGATTTAAGACAATCTCTCAATACCTTAATGACCGGTACCAGATGAAATCTCTTGTAGATGTGAGTATTTAAACGCACAGTTATAATATCTGCGCGCATGTGTGTTCTTGGAAGAATCTAATCCATTAATTTTATTGCACTATTTAATTGTGTTATTTTTTAATAATTATTATTATGCGTAAAATATGAGTATTAAGTATAAAGTATGAAGTTACATTCAGTAAAAGGCCTATAATAGATGGCGTGGTCTTTTCAACCAGTTTTTTTTATTTATTCGACCCAAAATAAATTTGTATTCTTCTTAATTCATTTTTTAATCAACTGCATTTGTATAAAGACCCACTTTCAGAAAATTAAAAAGGAAAAAATTCCGACCCGAACACGCGTCGGTCAAGTGCGGAGGGAAAGTTTTTTTTTTTGGAATTACCGGAGATTTGCCCTCTTGTTTAATTTCTTTTATTTTTTCTCGTTCCCCTCAGAGAGTATATATATATATATATATACCTATAGTCCTATACATTTATATATTTTTTAATTCTAGCAGTTTTTTTCCTCTCTTTTAATTGGATGTGTAAAGAGAACCCTCGTGACAGTAAAATGCGAACATTCTAATAAAGAAGAATAAACAAAAAAAATGTATATATATTATTTTAAACATTAAATTAATAAATTACTTTGTAAGTGAAAAAATCTTCGATATATTTAGTCCCAACCTATTCATGCTGAATCATACAAATTATGCATATTTTATTTCTTAAGCGTATTTTTGTCAAAGAATTTTTCATTATGTTTTGATTTTACTCATTACAATATACCTACTATAGTTATTTACATTCAAGAAAATAAAACAGTCTAAAAGATTCATAAAATTACTAGTACATATATCTTAATGTTTTAAACTAGCAACATGTCATAGAAAATATGCATTTCTGATAAATAATTCAATTATCTATAATATTAAATGCATTATACAAGTTACAATATAACAATAACTAATCTATAAATAGAACCGTTAAAGGATTAGAAAAAAAGAATGAATTTTTTTTTATTAATACTTAAGTTTATCTGTTTATACATTTTTTTTATTATTAATCGTATAGAACAAAGTTATATATAAGAAGTGTTTTAACTAAAATTAGTGTTAAAAAAAAAAAATGTATATTAGAAATTTTGTTTCATCTATTTCCGTTAAACTATCTTATATTAATAGGACGTGTAAAATATTATGTCATTTAACACTATTATAGTTGGTAAAATATTCAAAGAGGTCAAATCCATGTTTTGTAAATCTACGTAGTTTATTTATGTTGATCGCAAACAATAAAGACTAATAATTGTAATATCCTTAAAAGCTATTATTTTTTTTATATAGATTATCAAAATATTCTCTGACATTTTTGCAAAGAAATATAATATTTTAGATTGTTAAAACCTTTTAAAGAACGTCAACGAACATTTTTAAAATACAATATTTTAGCTACCTACGTATTATCATCAGTTTACAAAATGTACGGTATCATAATATATTATTGCGTGTATCAATAATAAATACGTGAAAACACGCTTAGATGTTTTAAAATAATATAATTCGATGTAGTATAGAATATAAATAAGTATATAATTTAGGGTATTTGTTTACTTTTGTACAGTGTAAATATATACTATGACTGTTAGTATAACAAAGGACATCTATTATTTATCTAATTCGTCTATACTCTATTAAACAAAGAAATATAATATATAAAAAAAAAAGAAACATATATTAAATCTATACCTATTACGAAATATAAAATCAAAATGATTTTTACGCTTTTGTTTAGGTATACTATAGTCTATGATTTATCATTATTTTTTTCACTTACAATTATATCGGGTAAATATATTTTTATCGTTGTTTATAGTTGTCATTGTCATTATTTTTGTTAAGACTTGTATAGAAAAAAAGCAAAAAAAATATATACTCCTACGTTTCATTTGTTGTAAAAAAAAATACGTAAGAAAAAAAATAACAATTCATCCTTAAAAAATACGTATACGGCAATATTCCATAGAAATTCTAAGTGATTATTATTGTTACTATTTACTACTAAACGTCGGTTCACCCCTTGACGAGTAATTAGTAGAATAATTCACCTGGACAAGGGACGCCGGTGATGCAGAACACTTAATGCGACGGGTACTGCACAGTGTAGTGTTGTGCGGGTGGTTTAGCGATACTCGGGGGTAACAATTAATAGCGTCCGGGCGATCTTTTCCGCAAGACTTATGCTCAGACAGCAGCCGTCTTGTTTAGCAATTAATCAGTATAAGTATCAACCCTCCGGTATGCCGTTTTATATATAATATAAAGCAGAGACGTTATTCTCTCTCAGCCACGCGTTTATCTCCATCACTCTTTCTCCGCCGTCCTATAAATATATGGCTCGACTATAATAGCTAGTTGCAGTACGTCGCGCCCACCATCATTACGTAATTGTTTTAAATTTACAACTCCGCCCGGTCGTTGTTTAACTGGTGACACCGCCAAGGACGCGGAGAGTGGACACAACTTTATCATCGGTGCGTACACATATATGCGCGAATAGGGAGTGGTTGGAAAGAGAAAGAGTGAGCGAGAGGAGAACGATATAGTGAAACACGGAGAGAAGAGCGCGAGTTAAATAAAGATAAAGTGAGTGAGAGGTTTTAAAATATTAAAGTATGAGGGGGCGATAACATGTTAAAACACGAAACAAACGACGGCGGAGAGGAAAATTGCAACGCAGCCGTCGTCTTAGCTTGTTGATCTAATTGACTCGTTTTAATGGCTGTCAAAGGAAAAGGATTACAGTGACGGGCCTTTAAGGAACCCTCCGTTTCTCGACAAATTAGTTGGCCAAAGTTATCCCATCAAAAACGAACCCTCACGGTGATGCATTCAATAATACATTATACATTTTATAGTTGTTATCATTCAAACACTATAAACGGCTGAAATTATCTATACATTGAACAAAAAAAAAAAAAATAAAAAATAAAAAACTTAGTGCACTTACCTGTGTGTATATACGTGTGCTTCTTCATGTCAGATTTCTGATGAAATCGTTTTCCGCAAAACTGACATGGATATGGTCGAGTGTCTGAATGGATTAGCAAGTGTGTAGATAAAGTAGACGACCTTTTGAACGTTTTACCACACTGTTTACATTCAAACAACTTTTCAACGTTATGCGCCGATCGACGACAGCAGAGCCATCTAAAAAAAAACCGTGACCGAGTATAGAACGATAGAATAATAATGCAATAATATTTTTAAAGTTAGCAAAAATATTGACTATTTTTCACAACCATAGATTATTATAACAAACGAGATTAATCTATTTATCAAAACTTTAAAGGTATATTTGTCAACATATTAACATAGATGAAAGTGCGATAGTATTCATACAGTGTTATGGGCTAGTGTTTGAACGTCAACAATTATATCCACAACACTGCGATACGGCGCACATTTCGAACAATTATAAATCAAAAAATTCCAGTGACATGTTTACTATTGAGAAGATTATATTTACTGTTAAGAAAAATAAAATTAATTTAATTTAATAAGTTATTACCAATTGGTGTATTTATTATATGTGTAAATGTATAAAATATGTTATATGTGGACTGCAGTATGCTTATTATGTTTTTAAATTTATAACTAAACTACAACCAAAATATGTTATACATTATTTATTTATTCAATCATTAAATTATCAACATTTATAGTATACGAATTTAAAGATTTATTTTTCTTGTCGAAAACCATAAGTTTTCAAAATATGTCTTTACCATTACCTGGTTATAATTAAATGTTTTATATTAATTATTAATGCTGATATACTATGTAAACAAATTTGTTCATCTCACAGATATTTTTATTTTATAAATTGTATTTACAGTTTATCTTAACTATATTTAAGTTGTTGAAGTGAGATAAATAAATTAAAGATATTTATTGTGTTTTTTACCCTTTATATTTTACAAAAGAAATTTTTGCTATAGGTATGTTGTTATTTTTATTTTTAAATTTTGTTAGAACCTATCTGAAGGTTAGTGTAATTAGTATTCATTAAACATATATTATTGTAAACAACCAAAATAAGCGGACTAGAATACAATGTTATACCTACATAATTATTGGAACAATGTCAGTAATATTATAATAATAGTAAAATATGATTATGATAGAATAGGTCGGACACGACTAACCGGTGTTGGTTCAGGCTTATCTCGGCGCCGAACGATTTGTTGCACAGCTCGCACGAGAACGGCCTCTTGCCGTTGTGTGACCTCCTAGAGTGCACCTCCAAGCCGTGCGACGTAGGGAACATTTTGTCGCATTTGATGCACGAGTACACGTCTCCAAAGACTGACCCCCTCATCAGCATGTGATGGTGTCGCATGTGGCCACCGGGGTCTGATGGTGGCGCGGCGGCTAGCGGCTGGTTAGAGCCAGGCGCAAACTGCTGCCGCAATTTCATCATGTCCTCAGCCGACGGGTGAGGTACCACAACGCCGCCTGAAGTCTGCTGTTGACCTGAGGAGTGGAACGGATTGGTCGCCGGCGAACTCATACCTGCAACATGATTACACATGCATGCACGTCATTTTTAATACACCCTATGATGATGAAGGTCGCATTATGGGAAACAAAGGAGAAATTTGTTTCAAAGAGTAGTCCACATATTAATTAATAGTTACATTATTGCGGTTAATTGATAAAAAAAATAATAATAAGTTGAAATTTGATAAGTACCATCTTTTTGTATCAGTAAATTTTTTTTTAAATTTCAATGATTTTCACAAAAATAAATTTAAAATTAACATTTGGCGAAGAAGTTTTAAAAACGCACATAAATTTGAATAAATGGGGAGTCCATTGTATAATTAGTTTTTTTTTTTATAGTACTTAATATGAATTACAAAAGACCTTGTTTTGAGATTTTGATGCGATGAGTTGGGAACTAATTGATTAAGTTGCTCAGTCTTTTGGTCTCCATAAATTCGTGATAACTTAACGGTACGGGTTTTCTACATGAAAATTACATCGTGAAATTATAAATTATTATCATGTAAACGAAGGATTACAATTAAATAATTGTATTCAAAACTAAAATGTTAACTAATAAATATATTATGTATTGATGCTAGTTTAAAAATAATATAAAAATAAGCATATAGAATCGAAAACAATCTTGTACAAAAAATAACTACATATATGTTATTATTTTAATTTCATATTATTTTTATACTTGGGTTTTTTTAAATTTCATTTTTAAAATATAAAATATGATATGTCAAATTATTTTATTAAATTGCAAACGTTTCTTATAGACCAAAAGTACTATGCAGTTAAATTATATTGTGACCATTCAATTTACGAGTAAACACATATTGGCGCCTAGGTCATTTTAAAGAACCCTTCCCCCTATTTCCTAATTAACAACCACGATTATACTTTGGTAACCCTCATCCTAATAAGTTATAACTAATCACACATATAAATGATAGATAATGATATATTTTAGGTACCTACACCATACATGCAATTTCAAATATTTTATTGAAGTATTAAAAATTTCTATTTATTTATTTATTTATTTATAATAGTTTACAGCAATTATATTTTGTTAATTGATACCTAATAAACCAAAAATTGCTATCAATCAACACAATTAACTAAAGCTACAATTACGATTTTTTAACCATAAATAGCCATGGACTATGGTTAAATAACTAATAATTATTATGAACGAATGAAATGTATCTAATCTAAATAATAAATAAGTAAATAACTATTATGGTTATCTTGATATAAAAAAATATGACTACCTACGCGTTTATGTTGTTATTTAACTGCTGTTTTTTTTTTTAACTGATAAGACATCTTGAATGATTTAAATTTTTAAGTTTTATGGCCAATAATACAACAATTTCATCAATTCAATTCAAATCGTTAAAATTAAAATTTTTAACTTTAAGACTTAAATTTCTGAAGAATAGTTATTTTGTGAAAATATAATGACAATAGTTTAATATAATATTTTTCTTACTTATTCCTTTCTATATAAAAATAAAAAAAAAAATAAAATTGATTAGTTTGAAATCTGCTAAAGTTTATATTCTTGTTTTTAACCGTTGATTTTTCCCAATTTTTCAAAAAAAATATTAAAAATGCTCTACTTTTGTCTCAACGCACGAGCTTTTTAAAAAAAATATCTCTAATAGATAAAAGTGAGGAGAATACTTATGGGATATATATAAATGTATTTAGAGAACAGTTGTACTTGATTGGGTTTAATTACGCCGTCGACTTACCGGTTGACGATAGCGGATGAACAAAAGCGGCGGCGGCGGCAGCCTGGACGGCACCCAGACTCAGATACAGTGAGCTAGTAAGTAGGTTGTGATTATTGTCAGTGTGTAGGTCACCACTGCCACCACTGCCGGCGCCGCTACCAGCATGCTCAGGTGAACTGCTAGACGGGTTCAACATGTTGGCTGCAGAATAGAAGTGCGGGTGAAAGCTAAAACCAGAAAAGTGTTTCTGGAGCAACGTATTGGCCGCGGACGGGTGCAGATGCACTTCCTTCCGGGTGTCTTTGATCAGATCCGGAAACTGGACAGCCGGATACAACAGCGATCTGGTGACCGATATGGTGTCAGCGGCTGTCATGGCCGGTGTTTGCTGTTGCTGGTGGTGCTGTTGGTGGTGTTGTTGCTGTTGATGGTGATGGTGATGGTTATTGAACGGATGTCTGGGGGTCCGAGGCGCGTCCGGCTTGAGTAGCGCGCTGACGCTGAACGCCTCCGAGTTCTTGGCGGTTACGGGTGGCTTGCGGGTGGTCATCTGTACTATGGAGACGGCAGGTTGCGGTGGTTGCGCCGGTGGTGGCGGAGTAGATCCGCACTTGGTCACGTCGATGTCCGGCGATCCTAACCGGCTCTCCACGTCTAATTCGGATGACGAGGACGGCGACGGCGAACTCCTCATTGGCGACCATATTTTTCGGGCTGAATCTCTCATGCATCGGCTGTTTTTCACTTCTCGTTCGTCATCATCATCGTCACCGCGACGGTTGTCAACATCCGGTTCATTGAGGCTCTTGGTGATGTTGTTGTTGTTGTTTGCAGCGTACGACGTATCGTAGGTAGAACGGCTATCGTTGAACTTTTCCACCAGGCGGTTGATACCAAACTTTATGCAATCTGGAAACGGAACGAAATATGGATTTTTATTTTTAAAACTATCTGACCGTTCCGGTAAGGAATTTTTTTTTTTTTTTTTTTTTTTTTTGGCAATAGCATAAAGCATTAGAATAAAATAAAAATCAAAGCGAGCACTTATCGAATCTAATATATAAATTAAACTTATACGGTAGAATTTTAATATCTTAGAATTCCAAATACTTATAAACATGCAATAATTTTTATATTATATTCAGATGAATAAGCTGTTTATAAGATGTTTATAAGTATAAACGATTATAGGTTTACAGTATGTATAACGAAATAATATCCATGTAAAGAAATAGAATAAAGATATACAACATTAATCTCGATCTTAAATTATAACTATTGCTACGTTATACCATGTTATCTATATCTAATTTCTACAAATGTATTATTATGTTTTTGTGTTATTGTAATATTTTTATTGGATTGTATTTTTGTATTTCTGTTTAACTATTACCAGTAATTTATCTTCTTCAAGATACTATTACGTACTTGTACATTTCTACTAAACCATTAAACACGCCATACAAATTTAATATAATTAATTATTAAACTATGAGAAAACTATATCATAGTATCTGTGGTTAGGAATTCGATAGGTTAGTATACAAAAAACAATATTGATGGAAACATTATTGCTTTTTCTTTTTTTTTACTACAAGATATATAGATATTTCATATTTACAAACAATGTACAGTAGATATAATGACAAAAAATAAAGTTTTAAAACTTAAAACCATGGCTTGGTATCTGCATAATATTCAAATTAATTCATTATATATAAAAAATAATTTGTGTATCGCCTATGTTCAAAGTCAACAAAATAAAATATCATTAAGTGGGCCTTCTCTATAATGTTTTTATCTTCAGAAATAATTTTCTTTTAAATTAATATTTTTGCATGATTTCACACAATGTATGCCTGATTTTAAACCATGTGTATAGTTAATGAACATATTTGTTTTCACGTTTCAAAAACTTGAGATAGTCAAATTCAGTAAGCACATTCAAATGATTTAATGATTTCTAAAGCTCAAACAGGAGATGGGTAAGGGCGCATCATTACAGTAGGTTAACGACTGTAAGATATCAAACACGCGGTCGAAACACGCTCTGTATTATTATACACGTAGGTACAACACAATGAAACAATAGTAAACGAATTAGATGGACGAGGCAATCGTTAACGTTGTTTAGGTTGCCGTAGTATTACCATCTCGCGATTCCCCTCGTGCCAATATTTACTCGATGTGTGGTCTGGGCGGCGGCGGCGGTCCCCGAGTTCCCGATACGTAGCGTATAAACTATACGAAAAGGGTTGGTAAAAAAAAAAAAAAATATAAAAACTATACCCGCACCGAATTATAGACAATCGCACTAGCACACACTCATGCACAGACATAAATTATCATAACGTCCCAGCGTATATACCTGGAGCGGGCACGTTGTATACAATATACATAATATGAATATAAATATTGCGTTATATACAGACCGTCGCAGTGTCGCATGACGTTCCACGTGTTTCACATATATATATATATATATATATATATATATAACGCGCTAAGTAAACACGTCGTGTCTACACACGCCAGGGCCGTGACTGTTGGTTGCCGTGCGCGCCCGGATAAACAAACCGTCAATTTTTATCAGTAATAATAATAATATATTTATATACACACACACACATACACGGTTTTATTATTTACGACGCGTGCAATAAACCGTATATAATATTATAGATGACTGTCGTGTATTATTTGTCTCCTTCGCACTCCCCTTAACGACCTACTAATACCACCCCACCCGTCACCCGAACAACCGGTATTTAAATTATAATGAATTCGATATGACAACGCGCGTGCATTATATACCTGTCCGATATTACCAATTCCCGTTACGACTCTTTTTCGATAGCTTTTACCATCCACTCAGCAACGCATGTGTTATAGATAGGTAATATTGTTTTTATGATATTATCGTTATCTATATTATTATTGTGTTATATCAGGTTTCTTATGGTGGCGTATCACATCGATTTTTTCGCACCATCGCAACGATTTACCGAGACCACTAAATAATACGAGAACCACGCTATACTTCTGTTATAATTTAATATTTATGGCGTATTACGTACATCTGTCACATGTTTTATCAGATTAATGTTTGTCGGATCTATAGCGTCTGAGCATTATTTTACTTGATGTTCTCTCCCAATCAGTCTAACATGACGAAAAATAACAGTTCTTTGTGTTTTAAAATACTATAAAACTATTAAAGCTTACAATTCTTCTCTAGTAAGTATAATACAATTTTTGTATCATTGTAACATAATCTAAGTCACCATACATAGAAATTACACATTTTAATGTGCTTTAATATTGTAAATAACATCTCAAAGCGCTTGACCAATTTTACAAATGTTTAATCTAAACAATATGGTTGTTATTTTTATAAATTTGATTTCTTATATACAGTTGTATTGACTATTGAATTTATTTGGAATAATGTAACATTTATTTCACACAAATTGTTTGCACCCTAAAAGATAAATTGTAAAAACACATTTAAGGGTGACTATCATATACAGTAGGAATATATATTTATAATAGACATTTCGTCACACCGTCATGCTTTTTAATAGTATAATAACTAATAATTGATAGAGAAAAAAGTTGTTGCTTTTAAAATTGACAATAACAACTGTTACAAAATCATAATACAATTACAAATAATAATGCTGAATAATGAATATTGACTTGAATTTCACTGAAACATATGTTAAGCTTATACAATTTTACAATATAGAGTTATGTATCAATGTATGATTCAATGTTTTAAATTAGTATTAGATTAGATTATTATACTTTTAATTATACATTTAGTGTTAAACACGATTTTTTTTTTAAGATTCATATTGGCATAACTTATGAAAAGAAATAGCATGTTTACAATAATCTACCACTCCCTTAAATTGCCCTAAATATAGTCTAATAGATATCAGAAACATTTATAGATATCGTACTATGTCATGTCATTATCAAATAGCTAAAAAATCAACACAATTGTGAAATACTGAAATCACACGATTATTCTACGGTATATTAAATCATTGAACTCAGTCTCAATCCATATAATGTATGCATAACATAAGTAAGTATTATAATATTATTATTGTATAATAGCTATTAGAAAAACAAATCCATGATACGATTATTTGTACGGAAATCACTAAATTGACAAACATATAGCATCATTCTCAGATAGTATACGTTGTTATAACAATAGTGCAATATTTAGAATGGTTAAGCCAAATAGCGATTTTTGAGTCATGAGCCATAGTAACGACTTTTATGTACCTACAGCGTGTTACCAATTATGATTCAACAATATGTATGCTATCTATAAAGTGTATACACCTGCACCTATAATATATTCATGACATTTCTCAGAAAAATTTACGTCAAATTCCTTTGTCGGCGGCAAACATTTCGAACATAATATACATACTAGATAGGTACACCATCAGTTGCAATTATATTGCTTGAACACATATATATTTAAAACTGTTCTAAATCATTTTAAAGCATTTTAGATTCAAACTCGAAAACATGTAATAGCATCGTACCGTGTAAAAATTTACGCGAATGATTTTACATTTACACTTGCTTTTAAATTCATCTAAGATTTAAAAATTATCAACACAAAACAATACGATTGTATAATCATCAAAATTCTATACATATACATATTTAATCGATTCTGATCGTATTTTACATTTTTAACTCGTCAATTCGTTTATTGCAGGACGAACGTTACACACATTATTCATATCTTGTATTAATTTATTGTACACGCGTAATATTACGTTGTAAATTATTTTATGATTGTTGTCACAACCACGTTAAATTTATTTAAATATGAGATTATTTTTATGATAGATGATGTGCAAACACGAAAAAATACTCGATTGGATAATATTTACAACGCAAATTGTATCATAAAACCATAAACTATAAATGATTTTTTTAACCATTTGACTTCCAACCGGTGTCTAATACCTACGTATACAATAATGTATATATTTTTACGGATCAATTCGAATAGGGTTTTGATATTTAGCAAATATTTGTATTTAATACTGACTAACAATATGTAATAACGTAAAATTGTATCGAATAAAATGTATGCGATTGTTTGAAATTATTTTTTTCTCAGACATAAGAAGCTCCTTAAACGTTTTTTATATTATATTATGAAGACAAACATAATTATTTTTGCGTGATTATCAATCACTTTCAAGTGATATTTAATACAAATTCAGCAGATGGTTTATTATTGATTGCACTCGTCATATTAATAAATCCAGTGGTAAGGATTCAAACCAATTCAGTTATGAAAATCAAGTGTGAAAACACTTAAGTGTTCGAATAGGATCCTTATTTCATTATCTTGTAACATTCATTTCGTTAATTCCTTAACACAAAAATCATTTGACGATTCCACTCATCGATTTTTAATAAATCACTGTGAAAATGAATTCTTTTTATTTTGTATAATCTAACAATGGATTGGATACGTATAATACTTACATTAATTCAAGGATAAATATATATAGATAAAAAATTATTTAGGACCATTCGATATAATTATTATAGTATCTATAGTACTAACTACAAATATGAAGTGGTATATTTTATCTACTAATTGATCACTTGGCTAAAAAATCATGAAGCGACATTAAATATGTTATTCATTTAATGCATCAATAATGACGAATAAATGACAAAAAATTATACAATGTAACATATTATAATATTATAATAATATAATATGTATATTTATGATTTTAGGTAAACAATATCTACTAGAATAATTTATAAATGTTGTTTCTTAATTTTTTTGTAAACAAAAATTAAAATTAAATCTACATTGCAAAAATGATTTCGTCATCTTGTTATGAATACAA